GCCTAGATCCTTCTCCAGAAATGATTTCTGAAGAAGGGTCTAGGCCCGAAACGTCAGCCTCCCTGCTCCTCTGATGCTGCTTGGCCTGCTGTGTTCATCCAGCTCTACACCTTGTTATCTCGTGGCACTAATATGTTGCTTTGCTTTTAGCATGACACAAAGCCAAGAAACTTGGTATAGTTGTCTACAGTCTTTAGTCAGATCAACAGTGGAAGCCTTTGATCAGGGGTTCCTAGCACAGTAAGTCAAAGCTGCCTTCGATATCAGTTCAGGGGCTTGGACGCGGAGTTCAGCTACTTGGGGTGGTCAGTGTCAAGATCCTCTAAATATAAGAGGTATCAAGCCAAATCTCGGACATCCCGTTGACATTTTTGTCCAGTGTGATCCGTTTTTCTCCAGAAATGAGGCAGCTCTTAAAGGATTGAAAGGGAGTGACAAGGCTGTTACTTTTATTGCAAGTGAGGAGATGTCCCAAGCAAGTGATTAGGCAGCACAGAAGGCATGCACAGAGGGGATTTGATGGGTGAAAGCAAGTGAAGGCACTTGTTGCAGGCAATAATGAGAGTGGTAGACTGGGTGCCTTGGTGTGTGGCACAATAGCAGAGATAGAGTGTGTGAGGTATAGGATAGAAGATAATGGCATTTATACCAGCAAAGTAGAGAAGGTCATTGACATTCTTCCTACATGCCTGGTCATTAGCTGAGACTGCAATGACCTGGGTGGCAACCTCAGACCAGGCTGGCATTGGTCTTGTGCCATGGTATTGATTGCTAGTCTTTGGGGAAGAGGATGTCCTGTGTCACTAGCTTCCAGCCTACCAATTGGGGTGTCCACTTACCCTCCCTGCCATGTCCAAGGTAAATGTGAAGAAATACACATTTTCAGATGGCCAGTTTTTGACCAGATGCGTTGCAGGCTTTTAAAGATGGCATAGATCGAAGTGATGCTGGTCTTTCAACAGATATCCAATGAGTGGAGATTTGTTCTGGGAATGGTATGTGGTAAGATGGGAATAGAATTGGACATGAGGGATGGCATAGAGACTTAATGAGGTGCATTTGGTAAGATATGGCAAGAGATCTTACTGGGCCTCACGGCAAGAATCCCTCCAAAAGACTTGATGTAATTCGTACTAAGCCAAAAGAAGATAAGATTTGGCCCATAATGTCTGAATTAAGTTTTTAATTCATCTGAAGTAATAGTAAAAGAAAAATATGCGAAACAAAAATACTCGAAACTATCCATTTTTGTCTCTTCCTTTTCTTCTGTTAAAATGATCTTTAGTTATTTTTAGGCCTCTTCGAAGTGATATTTTATGTTATGTAATTTATATAAACTTTTCAGGTATATCAACGTTATAAACAAATGGAATACAAACCTTACACTACCCAATATGTTTCATCCAGTTATCTTCCATTAACATTGACAAGACCCCTGACATCGGGAGCAGAGGTAATTAGTCTTATCTAATTGAGTATACAGTCTTCAAATATAAGTATAAAAATGATCATTTATTTTCAGAAACAAAAAGTAAAATTTCTAGAGAAAGTCAGCAGGTCTGGCAGCTCCATGGAGAGAAAGCAGAGTTAACATTTCGGCTCCAGTGACCCTTCTTCAGAAAGTTCATCTTTTTTGTTTAGTATTTATTTTTCAAAAAAGGGCTTAGGATTTATACTTAGGAGACAAAGATACCAACGGATTACTTTATGCGAAATTGGAACTGTTAGATCATATTCTGTTGTTCTCTTGATCTCATTCAATACATCTTAATTAGTGCTTTTCTCCATCCAGTTTACCCCTAGTATCCTTGAATATTACTGAAAAAAGACATTTTGTTGAGGCTTTTTGTCTTGTACTCATCAACAAAGTTGTGAAGAATGGCAAAACTAAAGGGAAAATAACAGTTATGTTGTATGAGAGGCAAGTGCTGATGACTTGTCAAATGGACTGTCTATGGAGAATTAACAGTTAATGATGGTTGATAGTTAAGTACCAAGCTTAGTTTATATTTTAAACATGCAGGTTGGCTCAGATTTGTCAAGGCATTGACCTGAGAAATGAGCCAAAAAATGACTATTACCTATTTTGCTGAAATGTAACAAATACAATATGTGCCCTGATTAAGGATATAAACCACAAATGTCGATTTTCCTGCTCCTCTAATGCTGCCTGACCTGGTGTGTTCCTCCAGCTCCACACTGTATTGACAATATGTGTACATGTTCTTTCCATCTGCAATGAACAGAGGCTGTGTATTTGTATATGTAACTTCTAGTACATACAAGTGTGCCTCACTGCGAGCCCAACTGGCAATCCTAAACTGGTTGTCAGCATAATTCTTTGCACACTTATGATTATTTAGCAGATGTCCAATCATGTAATCATACTTAATATTGGACACAATGTTTGAATCTTACAAGAGCAAGCTAGTTGAATACAGTCAGTACATTGTTTGTTGTGAACATCCAAAGTGATATTGTTTCATACAACTCAGTAGTTTTAATGAACTATATATATGTAGCATCATACTGGCACTAAAATTCATATACCTCATTACTCATTTGTCTGATAGGCAGAATGTCTTTTTGGTTTGATGGCAGCATCCTGTTAGTTGTGAACACCACTCATATTGCTACTGCTATTGTAGCAATGTAAAATAGCAAGCTACGCATGTTTTTGTACTAACTTTTGTGACACCTTATTCTTCTTGTATTACATGAGATAAACTGGCAGTTTCCAAAATCAAAGGTCCAGACCTTCAGCCTGATCGTGAATTTTCAGGATGGCCTTGATGCACCATATTTTAGCGACAGCCTTGCACAGTGAACAAATGATCGGACCTATTTATGAGGTTGCTAAAATAGAGGAATCAAGTTCAAGAGCCGTGAAGTTATGTTCCATCTATACAGAACTCTGGTTTGTCCACCTCTGGAGTATTGTGTCCACTTCTGGTCGCCTCATTACAGGAATGATGTGGAAGCATTGGAATAGGTGCAGAGGAGATTTACCAGGATGTTGCCTGGAATGGAGGGAAGGTCTTATGAGGAAAGGTTGAGAGAACTAGGGCTTTTCTCTTTAGAACGACGAAGTATGAGAGGTGGGATAACAAGGTGTAGAGCTGGATGAACACAGCAGGCCAAGCAGCATCAGAGGAGCAGGAAAGCTGATGTTTCGGGCCTAGACCCTTCTTCAGGAGAAGTATGAGAGGTGACTTGATAGAGGTGTACAAAATGATCAGAGGTATAGATAGAGTGGACAGCCAGAGACTTTTTCCTAGGGTAGAGGTAGCTATTATGAGGGGGCATAGTTTTAAAGTGAGCGGAGGTAGATATAGGGGAGACATCAGAGGTAGGTTCTTTACTCAGAGAGTGGTAGGGGCGTGGGATGCATTGCCGTAGAAGGTAGTGGAGTCGGCCTCATTAGGGGCATTTGAGCGGCTATTAGATAGGCATATGGATGATAGTATAAGGTAGGGGTGGAGGTTAGATAGACTTTAGGTTTAGAGTAAAAGTTCGGCACAACATCATGGGCCAAAGGGCCTGTACTATGCTGTACTGTTCTATGTTCTATGTTCTAAATCAATCTTATGGTGTGTTGAACTGTGCTCACTTGATTGCTCCATTTCAAAGGTAAATCTGAATATAGAATGGAGCCCATTAAGACATGAAAGAAACTTCTTACATGCAGCTGAAGGTTCAAATATAGCAATCATATTACCAACAAAGCAGAAATGTGTAACTGGTGGAAGGTTAGATGTCATTCCATCAAAGACACATTCTTCATGGTACCCAACATAGATGTTCACGATAGCTGGGCCTACCAGACTCATAATAAGACCATCTATTTGGGCATAAAGACTAGGATAAAGGAGCAGAATCAGGCCATTCGGTCCATCGAGTCAGCCCCACTATTCGGCCATGGCTGCTATATTTGTCAATCCTATTCTCATGCTTTCTCCCCATAACTTTTGATCCCCTTACTAATCAAGAACCTTTCTATCTCTGTCTTAAATACAGTCAATGACTTGGCCTTCACACTCCTGTGCAGCCATGAAATCCAAAGATTAATTACCCTCTGGCCGAAGAAATTTCTCCTCATCTTAGTTCTAAAGATTGTCCCCTCACTCTGAGTCTGTGCCCTCAGGTCCTGGTCTCTCCTACCAGTGGAAACATCTTCTCCATGTCCACACTATCCAGGCCTTTCAGTATTCTGTAAGTTTTCAATCAGATCCCCCTTCATTCTTCTAAACTCCAAGTACAGACCAAGAGCTTTCAACTGTTCCACATTCGACATGCCCTTCATCCCCAGGATCATTCTTGAAAAACTCTTTTAAACGTCTCCAATGCCAGCACATCCCCCCCTTAGATATGGGATCCAAAATTGCTCACAATATCCCAAATGTGATTTGACCAGAGCATTGTACAGCCTCAGCTGTACATCTCTACCCTTGTGTTCTAGCCCATTTGAAATAAATGTTAACGTTGTATTTACCTTCTTGACTGCCAATTGAACCTGCATGTTAACCTTAAGAGAATCGTGAGCTAGGACTCCCACTCCCAAGTCCTTTGTGCTTCAAATTTCCAAAGCATTTCCCTGTTTAGCAAAAAATCTGTGCATCTATTTTTCTTACCAAAGTGCATAACTTCACACTTTCCCACATTATATTCCATCTGCCCACTTCTTATCCTGTTTATGTTTTTCTGCAGCCTTCTTGATTCCTCAACACCACCCATCCCTCCACATGTCTTTGTATTATCTGAAAACTTAGCAATATTGCTGTCAGTTCCTTTGTCCAGATCGTTGATGTAGATTGTAAATAATTATGGTCTCAACACTGACCTCTACAGAACTCCACAAGTCACCAGTTTCCATCCTGAAAAAGACCCCTTTATCCCTACCCTCTGCCTTCTGCCAGTCAGTCAACCAGCACTTTATTTCCCTCTCCAATTCCATTTTGGTTTAGACCCTTCCCCCTGTCCCTACCCTTCCATTATTTTTGATGGTGTGCAATGCCTACAATGGGCTTTGCATGTAAATGTCTAATTGACCTACATGGGTGATTTACTGGTGGTGATTAATAGTTCAAATCAAAAAAAAAGCAGACCCTGGGTTAAAAAATAATAAACACATCCCAGAGGAACTCTTGTGGCACAGAGTTGGGGGCGGCACGGTGGCTCAGTGGTTAGCACTGCTGCCTCACAGCACCAGGGACCCGGGTTCAATTCCACCCTCAGGCGACTGTCTGTGTGGAGTTTGCACATTCTCCCCATGTCTGCGTGGGTTTCCCCTGGGTGCTCCAGTTTCCTCCCACAGGCCAAAGATATGCAGGTTAGGTGGATTGGCCATGCTAAATTGCCCATAGTGTTCAGGGATGTGTAGCTTAGGTGGGTTGTGAGAGCATGGGTCTGGGTGGGATGCTCTGGGGGTCAGTGTGGACTTGTTGGGTCAAAGGGCCTGTTTCCACACTGTAGGGATCCTATGTAGTATGTAATAGTTGTGGCACCCCTATCTCTGACCCCAGGTAGGTTCAAGTCCTACCCGCTGCAAAGGTGTGCGATAACATCTCTGAACAGATTGATTGATTAGAATATATATAATGCAGATCCCTCTCTGCCCTTCCCTCACTTTTGTTAGCATTGCCCACGAGAGGCTTTGCATATAAATATACAATTGGCTGCATTGTTGTTTTCCTGGTGATGGTTGATAGTTAAAAATAAAACAAAAAAATCACTGTGATTTGGTGGTGAGAAAGCCATTTGGTTGTGTGTAATAACATTTCTGGATATATTTTAAAAATGCAGGCACCCAAGGACTCTTTTGGTGCAGGAGTAATGTCTCTGTCTTTGAGCCAGGAGGCCCAGATTCATGGACTCCCAGCCCAGCTGTTTACATTGTGGCACTGTGGAGTCCATGCACCATGTTTATATTGGTTGTGGGTGAACACACCACCTGTTTAGTTACTTGAAAAATCTTTTGTGTTTTTGGTTACGCTTCAGCCCTACGTTCCTGATCTTTGTGCATCCAGTGTGGACGGGTGTGGGAAAATCAGGCCCAATCTGTGGGCCTGCTTCTAGGCCTGGCCAGATTGTCCAGGCGGCAGGCTGTGGATAGAGTGTCAAGTCTGCTACGGTTATGTTCATGCCCGGGTCCTTGAGGAGGGAGCACATGGTGTCCAGCAATGCTGTCAATGCCTTGAGAGAGAGGTGGGCCGATACGATGGTTTAGTTCCCTCTCCAACTCCGTTTCCTCTTGCTGCTCTCCCTACCTATCCTTCATTTTTCATGGTTTGCATTGTCTGTAACAGGCTTTGCATATACATATCTAATAGTCTACACTATGATTTACTGATAGTGGTTAGTATCTAAAAACAAAAAATGTTCAGTGATTTGGTGATGGGAAAACTCCTTTCAAGAAAAGAGAAAAATAAAACAGCCTCCTCCCCTCCCCTGTCTCTCCCTTACCTTTGATGGTTGGCATTGCTCTTAACAGGCTTTGCACATACGGGTAATCTCCTGGAGGTGATTAATAAATGAAGAAAAAGTGATTTGGTGATGGGAAAAAGAAAATTCACTAGTGTGTGATAACACTTCTGAGATATATTTTAGAAAAGCAGATCCAAGTGTCATTAAAACTCTATTTTGATTTAGCCTCTTCACGCTTTCCCTACCTCTCCTTCACCTTTGATGGCTTGCATTGCCTTAAACAGGCTTTAAGTGTAAATTATTCAATTGGAAACATGGGTTATTTGTTGGTGGTGGTTATTAGAAGGGAAAATAATACCATGGGTGATCTGTGTTAGGGGGAAAAAAGTTCATTGAGTGTGATACCACATCTGGATATATAAAAAAAACGGAACTGTCTGCCCCAGACTGGGACTAGCCAACATACGCCGTGAGTAGTGGCTTTATTTTGGTATTCAACAATAAAAATGATGCTCCTTTCCAGTCAGGCATCCTGAGTTACACAAAAGTACCGATAGTATTGCCAATCTGTTCAATCTTATCTTGCATTAACACTTGCTCAATCCTAGTACCATATCTCTCTTAAATAGCACATTTTGAAGCTGTTGATCTTAATTTTCATAGAAAACTCAGTTCATTGAAAACTAAGCTTTTCTTGGTTGAATAAGACTTTACTTTTTAATCATTAAGAAGTGCTTAATTTGTTCATGTTTACAATAAATTGATGATTACTATGATGATTCCATTGACAAAAATGGCAATATCTCATCCATAGAGGGGCAGGCTACCTCTGACAGCAACTTCTGGATTTTCAAGCTCAAGTGCATATGTGCGGACGCCAGAAATTGCTGTCAGTTTAGGCAGTAATAATGATTAAGGCTGACATTCATGCAGTTATATCACATACCCTACATGTGTGACATTTACCCACATAATTTTAAAAGTTATATTTTTCTTTATGTTCATTGTACAGGACGAGTTGTACTTAATAATGCCAACTAAGAAAAAAGACATTAGAACTGATACGTCAATGGAGGAGCTGCATGAGGCACATCAAGATGTTGAAGGCAAAGAGAAACACATGACAACAAAAGCTTCTATCTTGTCCTTACAGCCCTCTCCGGGTTTAATCAAACAGCCTGACTATCATCCATTACATGTGTTTGTAAGTATAAACGTAGAAATAACTTTATGTCTTGTCACAAAGCTTTTTCTTATTTTTATCATGCTCAGCAATAAGTATATGCAAACTATTTTAAAAGAGTCTGCAGTTTCAATCTATAAGAAACAGTTTGAACTGCACATCAGTAGAAGAAGTAAAAATATAATTTGAGAGCTTTCTGTCAATGTAAAACTCAAGCAAATGAAAGAAATACAGTCTATATTGATTGTAATGAGGTCAACCAGGTGAACTTCATAGAATGAGTTCCCTGATTGGGGCTGTTGACCGGGTCCAGTCAGGGAGCCCTGGCTGACAGATATAAAAAGGAGTGTCAGAGGTTGTGTTTACTCGGAGACCTGGCTGTATCAATGCCAAGTAGTACGCACATGTGAATAAAGGGTGGCTTGGTAATGGTATACCAGCCTCCTGTGGAGTTATGTGAGTGGCAACAAGAGAAAAAATTACATTTCTGAAAAGATTTGCTCTGTCGTCTTTGAGTTAGAGTAAGCATTTCTGGCATCATGCGTCATTTGGGAAGCTTGACTTGTTCAATTCAGCCATTGAAGACTGGGATCAGTATGTGGGAAGAATGCATTCGTTTTTTCTGGGCAAATGACCTTGGGAAAAATGAAAAGCAACAAGTAACTCTCCTGACAACTTGTGCACCCAGTTTTTTCAGTTATCAGTAGCCTAACATTTCCTAAGGCAGAGATACTAAAACTTTTCAAGAGTTAAAAATCACACGATACCAGGGTATAGTTGACAATGGATGACTGAACACCACATAACAATCACTAGACAGGAATGTTCCCTCCCAGTCAGGAACACTTCAGCAGTCAGGGACATTCAGCCTCTGATTTTTGGGTAAGCATCCCCCAAGGCAGCCTTCGAGATACACAACAATGCAGAATTGCTGAGCAGAAACTGATAGTCAAGTTTCGTATCCATAAAGACGCCTCGACCATGATCTTGGGCTCATGTCATGCTACATGTAACACTGTACACCGTACACGTACACTGTTCTGTATCTGTAAAGCCTTCCGCACTGTCCTGTTTTGACACCATCACCTTGATAACCTCTTATGATCTCTCCACCTTAATTAGTTTGTATAGTTTTGGATTACTTGTAACTTTGGTTAGACCCTTGGCATTCGACTCATACCTATCATGTGATTCCAGCCATTTGGTTTGTCCCAAGCACCAGTTTATTTTTAATTTTTTGTAATTATATCTCTGCCTCAATTAATCGGATCACAGGTCATCCCTTCACTTGCCATTCAGCTGTTGACACTTTACTCACACTGTCTGACACCTCTGATCACCTTCAGAGACTTATTATTCAGCCTGTTGACTTTCCATTCACATCATTTGTACAATCTTTTGATCTCTCTGCCTATAAATTCTGTGCCTGTGTGCCTCTCTTCACTTCACCTGACAAAGGAGCAGCGCTTTGAAAGCTTGTGATTTCAAATAAACCTGTTGGACTATAACCTGATGTTGTGTGACTTCTGACCTTGTCCACCCCCCAGTCCAATACTGGCACCTGCACATCATGGCTTTCAAGAAGTGACAGATTTAGTTAAAGAATATTATGACTCCAAGCCTCCTCTAATTCTGAGACACTATAGGCTTTACTTGGTAATTCGAGATCCAGGGGAATCTGTGTAGGGATTTTTGACAAGGTTAAAATAACTGGCAGAGACATGTGACTTTGGTTTAACCCTTAATGAGATACTGAGAGACTGTTTTGGTATGTAGGCTTAATGACGTAACAATGCAGAAGTGCCTGCGAGCTGAAGCCCAACTGGACTTCAAACAAGCACTGCTTGCCATTAGAAAATGAAACAAGTGGAGCATATGAGTTCCAGGGGATGCCGATGGAAGTCGATACCATCCCCAGGCCAACTGAGCTTGGGGAACATCACTTGAGTGAAGGCAATTGCATGGTCTCACTCAGGACAAATTCTGAGGGACACTAGGTCAGTCCACAGCAAAACTCCAAAACAAAGCCAAGCCTCGGCCAATTGGTTAACATTTTCTTCAGGATCCAGCCAGCAAACCATTCTGGTTGCTGCCAGCATGCGGACTTAAGACAGCAAAAAAGAGTCCCACTGGACCTAAAGTGAGTAAGAACACTCATAGGCCAGTACCCAGGAGAGTGCACACCTGGGAAAGCCCACCCAAATCTGGCTTGGAGCAGTTAAGTTGCTTAGTAACATCCAAATTGGAACTAATCAAAATAAACCTCTCGTTAAAAGGTCACCCGGTTGATACTGGCGCGGCTGTATCAGTGATTGCAGAACTGGTCTTTAACAAAATTCATGCTGGACTACAGAGCCTTAAGACCTGAGCCAGACTGTGAACTTGTCCCGGGGAACCTTTACAGATTAAGGGTACAACTTCAGTTCCGGTCTTGTACAAGAATCAGCTGGTTCAGTTACCACTGATTGTAGTAAAATGCTCAGGCCCAAGCCTGAGGTGGCAAAATTAGTAGAATAAGATTCATCTTGATTGGCTCAACATTTTTCGACTAGAAAATGGCTGCCTGGGTGAAGCCTTAATTAAATACCCAGAAGCTTTTCAGGATGATCTAGGGACTATCGAAGGATCCAGGGCCACCTTGCACGTTGATCAGAAAGCAATTTAATGATTCTGCAAGACCCACCCAGTGCCATTTGCCTTACATGTAAAAGTATAGGCAGAAATCAGGAGGTCGGAAAGCAACGGAATCATCAAACCAGTACAGTTTGCTGAATGGGCAGTACCAGTTGTACCGATTGTGAAGTCCAATGGGTCGGTTTGCCTTTGTGGGGATGTTAAACTAATGGTAGACCACTTCATGTAGCTGGATAAATACTGAGTCATTGACATGGAGGACTTTTATGCAAAGCTGATGGGTTGTGGCTGTCCTTCACAAAGCTAGATGTGAGCCATGCATACCTGCAGTTGTGGTTGGACAAGGATTCCTGGAGGTATGCTACAATTAATACCCATAAGGATTTGTACCAGTATACGAGACTGCCATTTGGCATATCATAAGCCTGTGCCTTTTTGCATCAGATGATGAAGAACATTTTATGAGGTCCATTCCAGGTCGCCATTTATCTAAATGACATGCCAGTTATAGGGAAGACCAATAAAGTGCACTTAGAGAACTTGGACATAGTCCTTAGATGCTTCTCCAAGGCAGACATACATCTTGGAAGGGAAATTATGGGTTCCAGGCACCTCAAGTGACCTAATTGGGCTACAGCATCATCAAGACTGGGTTACACCCATTGGAAGATAAAATGAGTGCCTCTGCTTCTACGTCTGTAGCGGAGCTTAGGTCTTTCCTTGGATTGGTGAATTATTACCATGTATTAGTTCATACATAACCTGGCCTCCATCCTGGTAGCCTTACATCTGCTATTGAGAAAGGGACTGCCTTGGAAATGGTCTCATAGCCTAGATGTAGCATTTCACGAAGTGAGGAAGCAGCAATCACCGTCAAAGGTATTGACACATTGTGATCCCAAGCAAGATCTGGTGCTGACTTGCAATGCCTCCCTGTATGGTATTGGCGTAGTATTGGCTCACAGATGGCTTAATGGAGACGAACACCAAATAGTGTATGCTTCTTGGACTTTGACTGATGCAGAGCGCAAATATGCCCAGACAGAGAAGCAAGGTTTGGCAGCCATCTTTTGTGTGAGAAAATTCCACCAATACCTTTACGTTGGAATAGTAACAGATCACAAACCTCTGTTACGGCCACTTTAGGGGGACAGGGCCTGCCGCCAATAGCTTCAGATCGAATTCAGCGGTGGGCTTTCATTCTAACTGCGTACAATTACAAGTTTGAACACTATCTGGGTGGCTAAGTAGCAAATGCAGATGGGTCACATCCTGCTGGCAGATACACCACAGGTGGTGCCACCACTGGAAGACTTTGTAATGGTTTTAAACTTTCTCAACCCCCTTCCTGTCACCACTGACAATATCAGACTGTGGAGGCAAAAAGATCCAGTCCTGACAAAAATAAAACAGCTGGTGGTGATGGAGGAAACAAAAAAGGCCAACACAACTAAAATTGCAACCTTCCAGGACGCAATGAGACCAGATCACCATAGACGATGACATTTTATTATAGGGGACAAGAGCAAGGTCACTACCAGATATTGGCCGAACGCCACCAGAGCCATCCAGGGTGTCCAAAATGAAGATATTAGAGGGAAGTTATGACTGGTGGCCAGGACTGGATGCAGACATAGCCACATTGTTGAGGCAGTGCCCAGAGTGCCATCAAGGACAAAACTTACCACTGGCAGCTCCTCCACATCCACAGGAATGGCTGGGTAAATCCTGGACTCAGTTACACTTTGACTATACTGGCCTTTTCATGGGTTCAATGTTCTTAGTCATTGTTGGCACCCACTCAAAATGGCTGGATGTGCATTGAGTTCATTCATCAAACATGGCGACAATGATAGAAAAGCTGCGGCATCTTTTGTGATAGACGGGTTCCTGAAACTGTTGGTCACAGACAATGGGCCATCATTTACCAGCAAGGAATTCAAGTATTTCCTAAAGTTGAATGGCATTTGGCATGTAAGGACAGCTCCATACCATGCATCATCCAATAGTCTGGGAGAAAGAATTGTCCAAACATTGAAGTAGGCTTAAAGAAGCAGCTTACAACTTCACTTGATACTAAACTCTTCCAGTTCCTACATGATTATCGGACTACTGTCATGCAACTGCAGGGATAGCTCCAGCAAAGTTGCTAATGTGGAGAAGATTCTGCACCAGGCTAAATCTGACATTCTCGGACTTGGGGGCAAGGGTGAAATGGCATCAGGAATACCGATGCCGATACAAGACTCCACTAAATGAGAAAGACTGTTTACTTCAGGGGATGACGTTTTGTTGCCAAAACCACAGAAATGGCTCTACATGGGTAACATGCATAGTTGACGCAAGGTCAGGTCCTGCGACATACAAAGTTCAGGTAGTTGAGGCAATCCTAAACAAACACACGGACCACATGAAAGCTGCAAACTCGCAAACAGAGCAGGAGCAAAATTTACTTGGCCCCTCAGAACAGCCTATCTGTATAGCATCAAAGAAACCTCAGAATCTGAGGTAGACATGGTGGATGTTGCAGCCTCAATGCCTTTCCCGCCTGAAGAAAAGAATAAATTTCTTTCGAGATGCTCCAAGCGCAAGCGGTAGACTATGGCCAAGGACACGCCACCCTTATCCAAGGCTGAGTCAGAGGAACCAGACCCAGAGCGCAAATGCCCCAGCAGAGACTACAAGACAAAGAACAGGCCTACGTCCCTGGAATTATAGGGGAAAGGATGTAGTGTTGAGGCTGTTAATCTGGTCCAATCAGGGAGCTTTGGGTGACAGATATAAACAGGAGTGTTAGAAGTTCCATTCACTCTCAGAACTAGCTCTGAGGAAGCCGGACCTGTGTCAAGTACTATGCATGTGTAAATAAAAGCTGACTTGATGACGGGATACCAGCCTCTGTGGCTCTGGTCAAGACCAAGAAGGAGGCACATGTCAGGTATTGACAGTTGAGATCGAGTGAATCTCTTGAAGATTATAAGGGCAGTAGGAATATACTCAAGAGAGAACTCTGGAGAGTAGAAAGGGAACATGAGAACCCTTTGTAAAACAAGGTTAAGGAGAATCCAAAGGCATTCTACAAATTAAGAGCAAATGATTAATTAGGGAAAGTATAGGGCCGCTTAAAGATCACAAGGCTGTCTATTTGTGGAACTGCAGGAGATGGGTGAGATACTAAATGAGTATTTTATGTCAGTATTTACTGTGGAGAAGGGTATGGAAGCTAGAGAACTTGGAGAAATAAACAATGATGTATTGAAAAGTGTCCATATTATAGAGAAGGAGGTGCTGGACATCTTAAAATGCATAAAAGTGGATACATACCCAGACCTGATCAGGTGAATCCCAGAACTTTGTGGAAGTCTAGGGAAGTGATTGCTGGGCCCCTTTCTGAGAAATTTGTATCATTGATAGCCACGGGTGATGTGCCAGAAGACTGAAGAGTGCCTAATGTGGTGCCATTATTTAAGAAAGGTACTAAGGAAAAGCCAGGGTAATTGTAGTCCAGTGAGCCTGATGTCAGTGGTGGGTAAGATGTTGGAGGAAATTCTGAGCAAAAGGATCTATCTGTATTTGGCAAGGCAAGGACTGATTAGGGATAGTCAACATGGCTTTGTGCGTGGGATATCATGTCTCACTAACCTGTTTGAGTTTTTTGAAGAAATGATAAAGAAGATTGATGAAGGGAGAGTGGTGGACATTATCTATATGGATTCTACAAGGCGTTCGACGTGTGGTAGGCTGGCTAGCAAGGTTAGATTACTTGGAACCCAGGGAGAGCTGGCCACTTGGATACAAAATTGGCTCAAAGGTAGGAGACAGAAGGTGGTGGAGGAGGGTTGTTTTTCAGACTGGAGGCTTGTGACCAGCAGTGTGCCACAATGATCGGTGCTAGGTCCACTGCTTCTTGTCATTTATATAGATGATTTCGATGTAAGTATAGGGAGAATGGTTAGTAAGTTTGCAGATGGCACCAGAATAGGTGGTGTAGTACACAGTGAAAAATGTCATCTCAGAGTACAATAGGACCTTAATTAGATGGGCCGATGGGCCAAGGAGTGGCAGATGGAGTTTAATTTAGATAAATGTGAGGTGTTGCATTTTGGTAAGAAAAATCAGTGCAGGACTTAATGGTAAGTTCTGGGGAGTTTTGCCAAATGAAGGGACCTCAAGGTGCAGGTTCATATTTCCTTGAATATGGAGTCATGGGTAGACAGGATAGTGAGGAAGGTTTTTGGTACACTTGCCTTTATTGGTCAGAACATTGAGTTCAGTAGTCATGTTGTGGCTGTACAGGACATTGGTTAGGCCATTTTTGGAATTCAAGGTTGAAATCTGGTCTCTCTCTTTACATTTTGAAAGACTCTCTTTTCCTCCTTGTCTACTCGTATATATTCCTGGACATTCCAGGTCCTCTGGGCTTGTTGTTCCTACATTTCACCCTAAAGGGAACATGTTGGGCCTGTACACTCAACAATTCCATTTGCAACTCTTCAGGTAATGAATCAGCCCATGCCTGCTTGCAGAAAGACAAAGTTAATATTCACACATGGTGGGGAGGGGATAAGTTGTAAATAAAGTTTCACCTTGCAAGTGTCAATCTATTACTATCATCATTAAGACAAAATCTACCCAATTCCCCTTGAATTCAACAAAATTACCATTGCCAAGTGATATACCAACAATTCTAAAGACTCACTATTGACCAGGCACTTCATTGCACTAATTCCATAGATACTATAAAGGCAGGTTAAAGGCAAGGTAATCTGTAATTAATGGCACACCTCCCAGTTTGTTGAAGCCTGAATACCATTTACAAGGAACAAGTCAGGATTATGATGGAATTCTCCCCAGTAACCTGAATGGTTGCAGCTACCATAATACTCAGAAACTTGAAGCCATTTAGGACCCATTTGTTTGGCAGCTTAGTCAATATTAAGAATGTTATGGAAAAGCTGCAGAAAATTCTTTTGGGCAAGGGTGAAAAGTTAGAAGTCACGGTCCATGCTGAAATACTTCTACTCCTATGTTCTTGATTCTGTACTTCGTAGCATTCAATAATGGGTAAAGTCCTGAAATTGCTACCTTAAGTGTTCTTTTCAATGTCTTATCCAGCTTCCTAAATTCTGTTTTCTGGATCTCATGCCTCTTTATACCTATTTTGTTGGTGCCAATGTGGGCCATAGCCTCTGACTCTTTGCCTTCCCCCAAAATAATGTTCTACAGCAGTTTCATCACATGTTGGGCCTTAGTACCAGGGAGGCAATATGCCATCCTGGAATCATGTCCACCACAACAGAAATGCCTGTCTGTTTCAGCAACTAACAAATTGATGGTCACTATTGACATTATACTCTTATATCCCTGCAGCTGTGCAGCTGAGTAACTTATAATGCGACAAATTTCACTCCTGCTACAGTCTTCTGATGAACCATTGCTCTCACACATATCCTAAACAAAGACCCATTGGCCTGCTCATTCAAGATTTTCTACCTGATCTTCCACCTGAAAGCTATCTTCACCCACTATCTCTGCATGCCTTGGTATCATTAGCAACTAGAAGTCTAGCAATCTCTGTCTTGACTGGCTTAATGACTGAGCTTCAACTGACTTCTGGGGTAGAAAATTCCAAAGATTCATCATTCTTTGAGTGAAAGAATTCCTCAGGTGTAAATGGTTTGCCAATATTTCTAAGATTGTTTTCTCTGGCTCTAGGCCCCACAGACAGAGGAGCATCTTCAATCTCTGATAAATTTCTGAGTAGGCAGGTCATGGATTATGTTGTGGAAAAGTGTAAGGTTATCCACTTGGTGGGAGGAACAGAGTTGCAGGATCTTTCTTCAATTGTGAAAAATTGGAAAGTGTTGATGTTCATTGAGACCTAGGTGTCCTTGTTCATTGGGTACTGGGAGCTAGCATGTAGGTGCAGCAAGCAATTCAAGAGGTGAACAATATTTAGGTACTTGTGCAGCTGTGACCATTTATTTTCTAAATTTTTACAAGAGGTACGAAGAGGGCACATCCTTCTTGAAATTCCTTCTGTTTCTATGGAAGGCTACAGCTACTTCAGTGCTGCAGGACATCCTGTTTGTTTCCATCACCAACAAGAAACACAAGTTGAACATAATACAGGCTGTAGTTTTCCATGTCTATGTAAGACAGACTGAAATTTCTTAGGTTTCCTGCAATTTTGGTTCTGAGACCTGTCAAGAACATGACAGCTTAATTTCCGGTCCCTGTTTGCAAGATAAGTTCTGATGGGATCATTCCCATAAATTGAATTTTCTACTCTTTAATTCTTCTTCAAGAAATTGCATTTTCAGTGTTCATGTAGCTGTTATCTATGTCAGTCATTTACATATATTTTTGTTATGATAATTATTCTGGTTACAGAAGTTTGTCCATGGCTATTGGTAGGGTGAGACCTAGGATTAGGTGAAATAGAGGGAACAACTGCCACATAAATACCAAGACCTATTATAGGGCATAAGTCTGAGGATAATCAGTAATCAGGAAAATGCAGGCTGAAAGTGGGACACTTGAGGGAGAAGAGACGATGCAGGCGACAATGAGATCTGCAGTTTGCTGATACATTTACAATGATAAATTACAACTTACAACTAACATTTTGTTTGCTGTAATGTGGTTGGAGAACCCCAGCAACTGAAGTGCAAGAGAATATTTTTTGCAGCATTGGGTTGGCTATCTGTCATAACTGAAACATTGAAGAAACATGAAACTTCAGATGGTTAACTATTGCCAGCCCAGGTATATCCAATGATAGCAAAAAGATGTATGAAGGTATCTAAAATACATGTGTGAAGAAACATAAAGAAATTTGAATCTATATTTCATTTAGCAATGTTAAAAATTTTATTCCGGTCTTTTGCTAGAATGCTGCTCCCGATCTTTGTGCAAATAAGAGGCCTTTCTCGTATGCTGAAACAGACATGGAATATCACCTTTGCCCTCTACCAAGGTACCAAATAACCAACAAAGAAGGAACAAATGTTCCTAGCACACAGAAGAAATTCCTTGATCGAGATGTAAGGACTTGTGGTGACTCACTTTTCATACATTTATCGAATTTAAATGAATTTCTACTTCAATATTTTATTACCTGTGGTGAACATTATTCTGTTCACTTGGCCTAAGGGGAAAGAAATTACATTAGGCAACCTTACCACTTCTATTTACTATGCATGAGTTTTGTGAAAAAGGATGGAATTCAACAAAAATTAGTTGTGTGTCAATTTCAGGGAGTCTCATGAAGGGTTTCCCTTCATAGAACTGTAAGACACAGGAGCAAAAGTAAATCATTTGAATTATCAAGTCTGCACCACCAAATGATAAGATCATGGCTGATCTGACAACATAAACATGGAAAATAGGTGCAGGAATGGGCCATTCAACCCTTCGAGCCTGCACCACCATTCAAAAGGATCCCTTTAGCTGCAAGGGTCACATCCAGCTCCCTCTTGAATATATCTAATGAACTGGCCCCAACAGCTTTCTGCAGGAGAGAATTCCACAGGTTCACAACTCTGAGTGAAGAAATTATTCTTCATCTCAGTCCTGAATGGCTTACCTCTTCTTCAACTTCAATCTTCAATTCCACTTTCCCCCTTGATCTCCTTGCACATAAAAATCTGACTATCTCAGCCTTGAATAGACTTAACAACCCAACCTCTATAGTCGTCAGTGTGAAGAATTTTGCAGATTCTCTCTCTTGTGAGAGAATAATTCCTCCCCATCTGTCTTAAATAGGCAGCGCCTTACTGTGTGATTATGCCTCTGGTCTGAGACTGTATCACATGCAGAAACAACCTTTCAGCATCTACCATGTCAAGCCCCCAAAGATACTTATATGTTCCAATATGGTCACCTTTCATTCTTCTAACCTCCAGTAAGTGCAGGTCCAATCTAGTCATTCTTTTATCATGAATCCTTCCTTCCCAGAATCAACCTTGCAAACCTTCTCTGGATTACCTTCAATGCCAGTAGATCTTCCCTTAGATAAGGAAACCAAAACTGTTTACAGTATTCCAAGTGTGGTCTAACTAAAACCTTGTATAGTTTCAGCAAGACTTCCATATTTTATAGTCCATTTCCTTTGAAATAAGGGCTAACAGTCGATTTGTCTTCCCTTTTACCTGCTAAAATTTTATGCTGGCTTTATGCAAGAGGATCCCAAATCCCTCTATGTTACAGCTTTCTGCGGTCTTTCTCCATTTAAATTATATGTTCAGCTCCGCTATTCTTCTTGCCACTGTGCAGACCTCACATTTTTCTGAAGAAGGGTCCTGACCTGAAACGTCAGCTTTCCTGCTCCTCTGATGCTGCTTAGCCTGCTGTGTTCATCTAGCTCGACACCTTGTTATCTCAGATTCTCCAGTATCGGCAGTTCCTACCATCTCTCTCCCTCTCCCATTTTTCCATGTTACATCCTATCTTCCAAGTTCTTGCCTACCTACTATACTGTCTGAACCTGTCTATATTCTTCTGCAGACTCTGGGTTAACCTCACCACATGCATTTCCACCTATTTTTGTGTCATCTGCAAACTGGGCTAGAGTGCACTTGCTTCCATTATCCAAATCATTAATGTATCTAATAAATAATTGTTCCCCCAACAATAATATCTGCGTCAATCCACTATTTACAGGTTGCCATCCTGAAAATGCCTACCTTATTCCAACTTTCTGACTTTCATTAGTTAGCCAGCACCATGGGCTCTATTCTTATGCCTAATGTTCGGTACCTTATTAAACAACTTTTGGAAATCCAAATATATTATATCTTTACTTCCCCTTTATCTGTTCTGCCTGTGGCCTCTTCAAATAATTCTAACAAATTTGTCAGGTATGATTTTCACTTCGCGAAGCCATGCTGACGCCATTTGATTAAATAATTATTTCCAAATGCTCTGCTATTACATGCTTTATAATGGACTCTTTATAACACTTTCCCAATGACAGATGTTAAGCTAACTGGCCTATAGTTACCTGTCTTTATTCTCCTTCCAACTTTGAGGAAGAATGCTAAATTGGCAGCTTTCCAATCATCTGAGAATATTCCAGAATCTAAGTGATCCTAGAAAATTATTACTAGTGCATCCAGTATCCGTGTAGCTACTTTCTTTAATATCCCGGGATGCAGCCATGATCAAATGGCAGAGAAAACTCGATGGGCCAAATGCTTATTTTTCTCCTATATTTTCTGGTCATTATGATAACCTGGTAGCTCACCTTTATGACTATAAATCTTTGATCCCAAATATATTTTATTAACTGAATTTAACTTTCCAAGTTGCCATGATGGGATTTGAGCACATATCTCAAGATCATTCGTTTAGGCTCTTAATTACTAATTTCATCATATAAGTACTATACTACTGCATCTTCCAAGGTAAATAGTGATAAATAATAATATAGTGGTCTTGATTGTGTTCACTTATACTGAAAGCACAAGTGTCTTGTATTTATAAATATCTTGTATTTAGGCTTGAAATATGTAACTATCAGTCTGATGACCTTGTTCATGATAAATAGATAGCCAACACTATTGAGTTCCCATTAAGTTGTTCCTCATTAAATATTGAATGCCAATGATGTGAAATTATAGGCCTCAATACCCAGTAAATTACCTAATCATATTTACCTAAATCTGGTTAATAAATCTCATAATGTATTGATATTATTAAGAAATAAGCAGGGAGAACGTCATTACATATTTTATTTATTGTCTAGTTAGCTGATTGCATTCTTAATTTTAGTCACATGAAGGTTTTTGCCCCACTGATTTCCTTCACTCAGATGTTTTGCTGGAGTAAAAAGCTTGCAAATGACAGTTACCGTGTGATCCTTCACTCAAGTGGTAATGGTTTATAAATCAGGTTTTACAGCTATAGTAGCAGCTCAATGAAACCATAGGCAGCATTCTAAATGCCATGCATCATGTCTTTGTCTAATGTCCATATGTGAGCTAACAATGACAATTTCCTTTCCTAGCTAAGGACACCAAGGCCAATTGTCATGCCAACTCAACACTGACAAGCAACTGAAAATATTACATTCTGTTTGTAAGGCTCACCTACTCACTGAGCAAATTTGTTGAGCGATCAATAGAGCTTTTTATTATAATAATTGGTAGTGAATTCCTAATGTAAATAAAAATGATCAAGAAAACATTTTAGCAAATGAATTGTTGATTTTTTAGTTATTCCGTGTTATTAATATCTAGCCTGGATAATGATAATAGATTTGTCACTAGATTTATTAACTGTCATGCTCTTGATCAAACAGGAAATAATCAAAGGTCTAATGACCTGGAAGAAGTTTCCTTCTGTTGCGCTTTCATCATTATCCAACAGTGACTTTCTAACAAGTACATGGGTGCCACGATGGTACGTATTAATAAAACTTTAGGTAGGTAGGCATCTGTTTAAATTTTTAATTCGACTTTTGGCAATTTACAAGAAGCAACACCAAAAGAAATATATGCTTTAAATAGAGATAGCAGGAACTGCAGA